GACGACGACGACGACGACGACGACGATGACGACGATGACGACGATGACGACGACGACGACGACGACAAGGACGACGATGGATGATGATGATATTGACGATCCATGAGGATCGCGCTGTCGCGAGCTACTGAGTCGCCATGGTTCTCCGACGACAACAACGACATCGTCATCGTCGTCGACGTCATCATATCTGCCGGAGCTAGCCGCCATTCGTATTCGAGGAACGGTAGAAGGTAAGTTGATGCAGCCGCTGCGTATACCGGGTGTCGCGGCGCGGTCAGCTGACGCGACTCTGCGTGGGCCTTTAGGAGAAGATACGAAGTGCCTGCAACACCGGCCTGGAGCATACCGGGCATATGGGATCGGTGCTCTCGCAGAGTCTATTACCACAGTCCATGCAGAAATGATTGTGTCCGCAGGGCACCAACGCCGCTGTAACCTCCTTGTCGCCGCACACGAGGCACTCGCGCCGTCCACCGCCCAGAAGCGAGTCCGTGGGCGAGGCTGGACTCGCCGACGCCGGTGGTGAGGGCCTCGATGGTAGTGTGACACTCGGAAACGACCAGATCGAAGACGCCGAAGCCGGCTGCGACTCGAATGACGGCGACTCGCCGAGACCTTCGTCTCTCTCCAGTCCTCCAGCTCCCCAAATCGCCACGATGTCGTTCATCCCCGCGGCACCGGAGCTACTGGACGAGCTGCTGCAACTGCCGCTGCTCGAGAACGCGCCGCTTGAGCCATTGGAAGCGTTCGATCCAGGCGGGTCGAGGCAAGTCAAAATTGAGCTGAGCCCGCCACGACAGAGTGCACCTAGTAGATCAGCCTCGTCGCACACGCTTGCACTAGTGCCTGTACGCAAGCTGATGTGAGCTTGAATCTCTCGTCTAGCTGCCTCGACGTTGTCCGGGAGCCCGGTCACTTCGAATACCGGCTCCTTGTCGCGACTAGGCGTAACAATGTACGTATGCGTCTGATGTTGGATGCGCTTGATGGTGGCACCCTTAGGTCCCACGACTAGACCCACCACTCGGTATGGTACGCGTACCTGAATCGTTACGTGGCCGGGTACCGACGCGGGTGGCCCTGGTGGTGCGCCCAGAAGTGCACCCAGAGAACTCTTGCGCGACGCTCTAATCTGCGAGAAGTGTTCCGCAGCCGACAGAATCTCGCGCTTTGCACGGGCGACATCCTCCTTTCGACCTGTCACGACGAACACCGGCTCCTCGCCGCGCACGGGCGTTTTTATGTAGGTGTTCGTCTTGGCGCGGAGCGCCTTGATCTTGCAGCCTGTAATCAGAACAAGAGAAAGAGACATCAGTTACACGGCCACTCGATTCTGCAGGAAAATTAAACGAATGTTATTCACGGTTATCGATGAGTCGGTAAACGAGTGCAATTCGATGGAGACGAATTTCTCAAAGTAAGCAAAAATACCGAAATCGCGGATTTTTTTCGCAACGTTGGAGTACGTCAGATCCACTCCCGAATGGAAATATTCGCTCGATGATTCCGAGTATGGAAGAATTCAATCTCCGCGTCAGTAAAAAGTCAATCGACTCAGAGCAAGTGACTCAGAGCTGTCACACTGTGTTTTGAAACTTCACTGGAAGACATTTCGAGAGCACGTGTGAGAAAGAGATTGGCTGTAATTGCTGTTAATTGACGTGCACTCGTTGCGAGATGCAGTATTCTTTGTTTGTCGCGTTTCGTCCGGGCGCAAGGCCGCCCACACGCTTGAACTTTCCAAAGCAGCAGCGCGCGCATGATGCAATTGTTTGCGTATCGCACTGCGAGAGACGCGTCGCAACGCGAAGAGCAGGAAAGAAGCAAAGAGAGAGACTTGAAGGAGTAAGATACCACACGAAACGAGCGAGAGAGAGAGAGAGAGAGAGAGAGAGAGAGAGAGCAGGCAAAGCGTGGAGAGAGAGCAGGGTGCAAGAAACTGGAAGGAAGGAGGTCCCGACCCGGTCTGGTCCTCGGTCTCGCAGACTCTTTGGCCTTGAGCCAGCGCAATGCTAGCAATGCAGGTGAACCACTCCTCTCTCTTTCCTTCTTTCGCTCCTTGCTCCTCTCCGTCGTTTCCTCCCCGCGTTCGTTCGCTCGTTCGTTCGCTTATTCGCTTGCTCACGTCTCTTTCTCGCGCGTCCTGAGAACCTCTCGTTCTCTTTCTCCCTACTCCATCCTTTGGCCTCTCCTCTCTCTCTCTCTCACACTCTCTTTATCCTCCTCTCTCGCCCTCCCTTTCATTCAGTTCACTCTCTCCTTCGTCGCGCTGGAAGAGAGAAGGCGACGTGCACATTGCATCGCATACCAGCGGTTGCTTCGCGTGCTTCTCCCCCTCTCGAGACCAGCCAGCATTCTCTCTTCCTCTCTCGCTCCTCCTCTCCTGTACACGCCGTTCTCTCATAATCAAATTTCGTGTTTTCCAACGCGCAACGCGGCTCAAGAAAGCGAACTGCGGCGACAGGATTCGGGGCGAAAGAGCGTGTGAGGACGAGTGCAAGGCCGCAAAGTAAATTCCGGAATACTTTATTCGCGCGTGCGCATGCACGCGCATGAAAGTACGCTTGAGAACGCGGCTGAACGAAGGATGCTTAGGACCTTCGCGCAACGACGACAACGACGACGATGGACGCCAATGTCACGGACGTTCCCCGCTTCTTCAGGGACATGCACCACGGCGCACAGTCTTAAGATCGATATGGAACGAAAAGCGCGTGGTACGTGTGTGTGTATATGTGTGTATGCGTACATACACACGCACGGACGATCGACGACACGCGAACGCGAAAGGACTCGCCGGGGTACATATGGGAACGTCGGGAGGTCATCTCGAGGGCGTGAACGCGCTATCAAAGTCGTAATTTCACTCGGCCATATATTACGCGGGACGCTACATAGTCTCGCACGCGGATCGCCGGAAGTCGAATATTATGTCGAGTATTATGAATACGTCGCGTGTGCTATCTATCTTTGTGAATTGAGCGCGTTTTAAAACACGAGCAATCAGAATGTCGCATTTTCCCGCTCTCGAAAAACAAGAAGCATATTTCTTTTTAATTTTATCCCTATAATACATCGATCGCTCGATCTCCGTTTCTCGTCCGAGAACAAGATGAGTTTCCATGTCGAGGCGCCAAGAGTATCGCGTTGTGCCGTCATATATCATCCAGTAAATTTGGAAATCATCCCGATGACGACCGCCCTCTCGCTCGCGTGCAACTTGAAACGCGCGCCGAGAGTCTCGGCCGAGTTTCCGTTTCTCCGGGGAGCTCTCCAAGGTTCTTTCTCTTCTCCCCGCTTATTCCGGAAATTCGCCTAGGGCAAACCGGAGCGGCTTGGTTCGGCTAAATAACTCGACACGGGCCTCTCCGCTCAGCGATGGGAGGCAACAACGAGGCAGGTGGATGAGGATCGGAGGACGCGCGCACGAGACGAACTTGCACAGATAGGTAGATAGGTAGGTACGTAGGTAGGTAAAGTAGGTAGATAGGTAAGGTAGAGTAGGTAGGTGAGTAAGTAGGTAGGTGAGTAAGTAGGTAGGTAAGTAGGTAGTGTGGATAGATAGATAGTGAGTAGATGGATTAGGTTGGGTTGGTAGATAGGTAAAGTAGAGTAAGTAGGTAAATAAATAGTGAGTAGGTAGATAGTGAGTAGGTGGATAGGTAAGTAGGTAGGTAGGTTAGGTAGATAGATAGGTAGCTAGGTAGGTAGGTAGGTAGGTAGGTTAGGTAGATAGGTAGGTACACGTGCGGCAGGAGAATGAAGAGCCGCCAAGGGAAAAGGAAGGTTGCCTCTCGTAGAGAAAGAGCTCGAGGAAGGTGGCGACGGTGGTCTTGTGGTGGTGCTGGTACTGTTGCTGCTGCTGCTGCTGTTGCTGCTGCTGCTGCTGCCGCGATGGTGCTGGTACTGATGAAGGAGAAGGAGGAGAAGGTGATGTTGGTGATGGTGGTGGCACAAACGGAGAAAGAGAAGGCGGTGGGGCGTGGGTCGTAGACAGTTGAAGGGCCGCGGCCAAGGTGAGACGAGACGGAGAGAAGGGAAAGGAGAGAGAAAGAGAGAGGAAAGAAAGAAGGCCCCGTCCGTCGACGAACGCCGCTCGGGGGACCCTTCGCTTTGTTCGCCTGGTCTAAGGGACGAGAGAGGACGAAAAGAGAGGATCGAAAGGAACGAGGAGTCTCTCGGGGCCTTCTGCCTCTCGTCGGTTGGTCCCTCGGCCGATCTTCCGATGCCCGTATTCCGTTCGCACCGCGAAATCATAGATTGTAACCGAGTAGTCCGAGCAGTCTCGAGTTTGGATCTTCCAGCGATCCTGAAGATCGGCGTGGAGGACTCGATCGGTTGTCACGCAATATTTCGACGACGAGCGGCAACTGTATACAACTCGACCCGGCTCGCTATCTTACTATCCATCGAGGAAGCAAACGCGTCGTTCGTGTATACGACTGATGCGCGTTGGTGCCGCACGTGGCACCATCCCCGAGTGAGCATAATGATGAGCGAAAGCCTCTCTCGGAGGAGCCGCGACTCTCCATTCCCACGATACGTCACGCGCGCCACGAATGACGTTGCTAAAATCCGCAGCAGCGGCGGCAACAGCAACGCGGTACAGCAGCAGCAGCAGCAGCAGCACGGCAGTCCCCAAAGGCCGCAGGATCAATAGTTACAAGCTTTCACGGTCCGCGGCTGCATTATAGACGCTCCGTGTAACTCGAGTGCATAGGCCGCCGAATATATATATATAGGCTACACCGACGCGCTCCGAAACTTTGTCCCTCCCGCTGAGCCTTGGAGTTTCTTAAATGATCTTCATTGTCCGTTGATTCCAGGCCGGAGAAACGATCGCGCAGGAATATATTTCGGCGACGGGCGAACAAACGGACGGATGGACGGACAGGCACGCGAGAATTTGGGAACCTTTTTTCTGGGAAAGCATACATTTCTTCGCGCAAGGTGCGATTCTTATCCGTTGCCGCCCTTTCCCGAAAGGATCGAAGCTACGTGGTGCGAAGAAGAAGAGACCCGAGGGGGACGCTCGCGCGGACCACCTACATGTCTTTTGCTTTTAATTATGACCGTCGAGATCCCCGAGAGAGACGTTTCTCTCAACTAGAGAAATAAAAACCATTGTCTCTGTGCTTTGCATGGGGAAATTCCCGAAAAATTGAATGTTAAATCACATCTAACTTGTATCGTAAGTGCACATCTAATTTGATCGTAAGTGCACATCTCGCATTGAGCAAAATGTTCTTCGGCGGAGATCCGCGTTGGAAAAGTCTGCGAGCGTTTGACTCGCTCGAAGGAAACTCGCGTCACGCGAAGATTCCTCACGGATTTTCTCTCCCACGTCCGGAACGAAAGAGAAAGACCTCAAAGTTAAGTCCCGACGCAGTTTCCCTCGCGCGATCGTCGCGGCCAGGATGTTTGTTTAGTACCCATGAGGCCCTTAAGTAGCGGTACCCTTTGGCGTCGTGGACGTCGTCGTCCGTAGGTCCGCCACACGGAGCTGGCATCGCGAGTTTCTCAGGCAGGTCAGTGAAACTGCGCCGTCAAGTTGAAGGCCAACACCCCCACAATGCAACGGCCAAGCACCACCGCTCTCCCCACCATCATATCGTTAGATCGTCCGCTTCTCCTTCCCCGCCTGTCCCCTTAACCCCTCGCCCCTTCTTCTTCTTCTCTTCTTCTTCCTCCTCCTCCTCCTCCATCTCTCCAGCTAACGCTGCCCCTTCTAACGTAACCCCGACTCGACACGCGCGCGCCATACAGCCGAGAAAAGTCCAATAACGCCGATAACTGACCCCCGACGCCCGTCTCTGTGCAAATACTTCCCCGCAAAGTGGATTTATCACGCTCGGAAACGATTAATCGCGCGCACGTCCTTCCAATTTGGCGCGTACTCGCGAATTTTCCCGATGAGCTCCACGATCATTTCTCACGATCACGACGTTACAGAAGATTCGAGTTCTAACTCGCCGACGAGGTCGAGTGTGTATGAATCAATGCCACGTGTCGAGTGGACGATAAGGGAGCAATGAATGAAAGGTACCGAGAGAGAGGTAGAGAGACCGGCACACTCTGACTAATGCCCCGAATTTTATCGTCGAGCCGAAAAAGGCCCAACGGCGACGAGCATCAGCAGCATGGGTGAATGGAGGTTATGCTCCCTCATCATGAAGCATCGCGAGATAATCTATCTCGACACCACGGCGGCATTTGCTCTCTCTTTCTCTCTCTCCCTCACCTTCTCAGCAGGTCGGCTGAGGAGGACATAGGAGCATGCGGTC